TGAATCAATAATTTCAATTATAGAATCATCACTAAGTGAATCATTTGATACTTGTTTTAAAATTTCCATTTGTGATTCACTGCCTACACAATTGTGATTTTCTTTTTCAGAAAAGTTTTTGTCTTCATCATTGCTTGAGAAACTTTTATTTGATAGAGCATCAAAAACACTTTTGTCTTTGGTTTGATCGAACTGTTCTTCAGGGAAACCGTCCCAAACCTGACGGTTATTTAATTCCAAAATAGGGGTTGGATTGTATTCCTTGTTTTTAATGGACGAATCATGTGTTTTGTGTGTAAGCTTCTCCTCTGTAAACACAATAGCTTCAGTGCTCCGCTGAATCTCTCTCTCCAGATTTATGCATTCTGTATTTTTTTGGTAGTGCCGGAAAAGACAGTAAAGCCTGTCGCAAAGCCCAATTTCAAAGCAAGGGCAATCCAAAGATTTAAAATAACCCTTAACTGGGAACATTGTGGGTATGATATAATAAACCTGTATTTAGCTTATCATTCACAGCACATTAGTTTATAGCCTACTGAATAACTTAGACCAGTTTATAACACTTGGGCACAGGTGAGACTTTTTACAGCAAATTTAACCTGGAGGTTTCTAAGTAAACCATCAATGAGATATTAGTAATAGAATTAAAAATATTAAGTTAAGCCTAATGTTTAAATTTTGAAATAAATATAATTATCAATTATTAGTCAAGCACTAGTATTTGTTTGTTTTAACACATTGGGAAAAACACTATTTGTTTTGTGAAAGTCATGTGGAAAACAATAAAAGAATGTTGATTGTTTATTTACCAACTGATCACTATTAATGTTATTCTTCTTAATCAGTGTTATTTATTACAGTTTGTAAAGTAGGCAGTCTTTTTCAACATTGAGCTCTTGATTAAACATTAGCTTGGATTATTTGTCAAAACTTTGAATCAAATCCTAAAGAGGATGGTGGGAGAATTAAGTTGGTGATTTGTAAATAGTGTGAATGAAACATGTGAACAGAGCAATACAATAAACAAAATCAGCAAGAAGTGTTAAAACCACTGAGCTATTAATGCAACTCGAGGTAGCAATGGTGGCAACTATGTTAGAAAATCGAGACGCTGTAAGTTATGTTGGTACCAACAAGGAGGATCAACCAGCTCATTGGCTACAATCCCCTATTCCCCTAGTTATAATGTACTTTGCCCTTAGTACAAATGGCGGCTAACATCTTGTAATTCTCTCAATCAGTTCTACCATAGATAAAACCATAGATAAAACATACTCCCTTAGTAGATTTCTCATCCTTATGGAACAGCTGAAGACAATTTTATTGTTAGTTCTGTACGATTTATGTAGAGGTCGTGTTTTGTTTACAATTTGTTTCCCGTTATTACAGCCATTTAAAACCTCGTTTAACCAAATAATACGATCTAATCATAACCAATAACTTGTCCCCTAGTTATATAACCAAACAGTAAAGCACAAACCAAGAAATTAACCCTAAAATAATGGAAACAAAGTTTCATCGACACTAGTGCCTTTGTGTCACGTACATGAACTAGACACGAAAAACGTGCTTCAAAATTTACAATGGGATGAGAAGTCTACTTGTGTTGGTTAGTCTATGATAAAACATAGTCCCTTAGTAGATTTCCCATCCTTATGGAACAGTTGAAGCAAATTTTACTGTTCTGTCCGGTGTACTGTAGAGTCGTGCTTTGTTTACAATTTGTCTCTTGCTATTTCAGTAATTTAAAACCTCGTTTAACCAAATAAAACTATCTAATCATAAGCAATAACTTGTTCACTAACCATATAACCAAACAGTGAACAAATCATGAGAAACTAACCTTTAAATAATAGAAACAAATTGTAAACCCAAAACGACATCTAAAGTACACCGGACAGAACTAACAACAAAATTGGCTTCAGCTGTTCCATTAGGATGGGAAGTCTACTAAGGAGTATGTTTTATCATAGACTAAACAACACAAGTAGACTTCTCATCCCATTGTAAATTTTGAAGCACGTTTTTCGTGTCTAGTTCATGTACGTGACACAAAGGCGCTAGTGTCGATGAAACTTTGTTTCCATTATTTTAGGGTTAATTTCTTGATTTGTGCTTTACTGTTTGGTTATATAACTAGGGGACAAGTTATTGTTTATAATTAGATCGTATTATTTGGTTAAACGAGGTTTTAAATGGCTGTAATAACGGGAAACAAATTGTAAACAAAACACGACCTCTACATAAACCGTACATGAACTAACAATAAAATTGTCTTCAGCTGTTCCATAAGGATGAGAAATCTACTAAGGGAGTATGTTTTATCTATGGTTTTATCCATGGTGCTACCTCCAATTATAGTTCGATTGCAGATACATTAATCCATTCCCACACTCCACACTCGCCTTTACTACTTCCTTCACCACTCCCTATGTTGTGGATCTATTTCCCTCCCTTCCCATAGCATTTAAGTATTGCAGATACATTAATCTAATTGCCACAGAAAGTTCCCACACTCTGCACTGCTAGCCTTTACTACTTCCTTCACCATTTTCTACGTCATGGACCTGATTCCCTCCCTTCCCATAGCATTTTAGGATTGCAGATATATTAATCTAATTGCCACAAACAGTTCCCACACTCTGCAATGCTAGTCTTTACTACTTCCTTCACCATTTCCTACGCCGTGGATCTGTTTCCTCTCTTTCCATAACATTTTTTTGTATTTTAGATACATTAATCTAATTTCCACAAACAATCCCCACACTCCGCACTGCTTGCTTTTTACTACTTCCTTCACCATTTCCTATGTCGTGGGCCTGTTTCCTTCCTTCTCATAGCATTTAAGTATTTCAGATACATTAATCTAACTGCCACAAACAGTTCCCACACTCTGCACTGCTAGCCTTTATTACTTCCTTCACCATTTCCTACGTCATGGACCTGTTTCCCTCCCTTCCCATAGTATTTTAGGATTGCAGATACATCAATCTAATTGCCACAAACAGTTCCCACACTCTGCACTGCTAGCCTTTACTACTTCCTTCACCATTTCCTACGCCATGGACCTGTTTCCCTCCCTTCCCATAGCATTTTAGGATTGTAGATACATTAATCTAAATAAATGCCACAAACAGTTCCCACACCCTGCACTGCAAGCCTTCCTTCACCATTTCCTACGTCGTGGATCTTAGCATTTAAGTATTGCAGATACATTTCTCTGAGTGCTACAAACGGTACTCTGAACTGCCAGCCTTTACTACTACTTCCTTCACCACTCCCTACGTGGACCTGTTACTCTCCCTTCCCATAGCATTTTAGTATTTTAGATACATTAATCCAACTGCCACAGACGCTTCCCCAACTCCGCACTGCTAGCCTTTACTACAATGTATCGAGTAATCTTAATCTTCAGTGTAATCTTTGCTCAATAGTTACAACTGATGTTTTTCCCTTTGTACTGTATTTTGTGATTTACTATTATACTGTGGATGGCTTATTATACTACACATGTTACAAGTCTTTTGTTTACCTTGTCCTTGTTATTTTGTTCAACCAACATGGTTACTTAGCACATGAGGCCAATGTTAAAAAATTTAGACTTTGTTTATTTCAGCGTAATTAGATTTTTGTTGGCAGTTCTAACTGCAGTTTTTAGGCCAGAAATAAACTATTTACAACATTTGAAGAAAACCGTCGAAGCCGAAGATCTTTGTGCAAGCAAGTATACAAGCAAACTCTGCTCATATTAGAGTATAGGATTTGTAATATTTATTTGTTAAAAACTCACTTTATTTTGCGTTAATAAACTCTAGATTACAATATGGTTTAATTTATTGGGTGGAACTTATAAATATTTGATAAACTGAGAACCACCCAAAACCTTTTACTTACAATGTTAAAAAAATTCAACAAAGAAAGTTCTTTCCTTCTTTATAAGCAATTATAGTTATTTGTGCAACTAGTGAGAAAAGTGAGCAATTGACTCACTCGAGAGAAATCCTTACTCACGAGCCGTAGGCGAGTGAGGAATGGTTTCTCGAGTGAGGCAATTGTACTTTGAACTCGAGTTGCACATTATACTTTTCCTACAGTTACCATAAAACAAATAAATTGGCGAAGAAACATAACCTATTTTTACACAGAAGTGAACTTTTAATATAACATTTAATGTGAAGTGATAAATACAACAGTACAACAGCTGACCAGCTGATTTACAGCCAGTGCTGCCAAAGTATTTCGCGCGCATACGACGTTGCCTGCATGTTACGCGCTCACTATTTCGTGCCTTCACGTTGCAAATCTGGAGTGAGACAAAGTAATTAGAGTGAGACAATGTTAACATTGTCTCACTGATGAGCGAATTGGCCACTTTGCTTTCTCAAATCAGTGAGAGAACATGTGCATTGTTAGGTAACTGTAGGAAAAATATTAAACCTATTCAACATCTTTTTGTTTTTAAGGTCCAGAGATTAATTTTTATAAGCAGTGTTTTCAATTCTGCTAATGTAGGCCTATATAAGCAGCTGTTTAGTAAGTGATTCATTAATTTTGTCTATTAAGATTGTGTTAAAGTACATTATACCATCGATATGTCGAGCGATCTACAAAAATAGGTTAAAACCTTACCTAGTATAAATCAATCGATAAATAATTTCAATCGATACAAAATAGCCACAATCAAAATTTACAACTGATTACAACAGCCGATTTTTACTCCCTAGGGACTAAAAATTATTTTTTACTATTAGAGAGTAACAATTATACTTTAGACCTGCAACACATGCATTAAAAATGGCTGTTTTTGAATATGAACAAAAATATTTTATTTACCTAATAAATGTCTCAAACAAACATAATCTTTTCGAGAAATAACAGGATTTTGATTGCATTATTCGTTTTGCTTCGGAATTGAACCTGCAATGTGCACACAGGTCCCTTTGTTAGTTCAATTTAAGATAAGGGTTAAGGAAGGAAAAATCGAGTACAAAATTATGGCTTTAATGTAACACTTTGGCATCCAACTTAATTGTATAAATATATGGATATGTACAGTAATAAACTTTCAAAAGCATGCATAACACATGTATAAAAATACTTGTAGAATTTCAAGTTTCAATGAATAAACTACAATGTTATTAACAAAGTTGTCTCAATTGAAATGATGTAGTAACTTGAGTCACTAAGAATGTCAAGGAATTAACAAGTAATTTACATTTTTTGGATAAAAACCCTTGTCATGTTAATTATCGGTTGAAAAACCACCAGATTAACGATGTTTCAAAGAACGGTAAAAGTGTATTTCAATACAAACTTTAGTTTTTTTAACAAAAGCGTATGGCAATTTGAAATATCTAGAATACAGAAATAACGAAAGACATCAATTAATAAACAAAACATATGAAAAATGAAACCCTTGGGTTTTGTAAATAGTTTTACTTTCAAATTTTTTTCAAATATAGATATTGACACACATTTGCTTACACAACCATAACAATTATTCAACAAGTCTAAATTATCACAACTTTATACTTAACTTTGGTTACTCTTAACTGTATTACATAAAGATCCAATCAAAATGTCCATTTTGAATTAACTATCATTACACGGCTTTCTAAAGAACTTTTTGACATTTGGTCATATTGTGATGTTCAAGATACTCTTAATGACTCGTTAAAATTCAAATTACATACAAATAAATAACAAGTAAGATCTATCGTAGTGGAGGCGGTGTGACGCGCGTCTGCCGCTGGTAACTAACGTAATGTTACGTCTGTCATGGACTCAGCAAGAAGAGTCGGTCAGAGAATTTCCAGTGATCTTCTGCCAAGCTTTCTCTTCAATTTGCTGGACAAAATGGAAAAAGATTTTAACAAATATTCGAAAGAGAAAACAAAATTAGACTGCATTGTTTGTACTAAAGTTGTATATTTTGAATATGTTTCGAATTTGTTATTAAATTGGAGTTGGATTGGAACATAATCTTGTACCATACCGTACTGAATTTAATTTTAATTCCACACTTTAGTGTGTTTGTCGTAAACACACAAAAGTGTGGAATTAAAATTAAATTCATTTGCAGAACACTCGATACAACAATGAAAACATGTTAGTTAGTTTATCTGTGTTTACTATAATCTAATTTAAATTAAAATTTTTTGTTTTATGTTAAATTTGTAGTTGTAATAATTGTACACCCACCACATGGGGCTTCTAAAAGGATACAGGGGGGGGGGGGGCGATACAGAATATTGGATCAAGCAGCTCTCTTGAGGTTAAGGATAAAGAAATATTAATTGTCGTTAAAGGGCTCTTTACCGAAATCCAGTCAGTTTACTTTGAGATTGTACAGTCATTAACTTGTGATTAAATTATAATTGACTATTTAGATAACATAATAACCAATAAGTGATCAACAATCAGGAATTGGTATAAATTAAAATAGGAGAACATCACTATTAAATGTATGACAACAGTTAACTCTGTTAAAAAAAAAACAACCTTCTACCCCGCTATCTCAACATAAACTTGACACTGAAAAAACACACTAACAACCTACACCCACAAATTAACTGTTAAAATAACCATAATTTATAACCACGCTGATAAAAGTATTGGAAAATTGTATCATTTAGAAAATAATTTTGCTGCAAAACACAACACCAAATAACTACTAAAAAAACCTACATGTAAAAGAAGGCAAGTTTCATATTCAACAAGATGTTTAGGGAGCCTATTTAAATTTTTTATGTCCCAACAATTTATAGGGTTTCACATTAGATAACACCAAAAACCCTGATTTACCTTATAATAGGAGATACATATGTTTTATAATACAATTACAAACATTACATCATGCAAGTTAGAAGGAAAGATTTCCGGTTTTCACAATTGTTTAAAGGGCAATTAAGTTATGTTCTGGTCATCATTATTATTTTTGGAAGTGGAATATTATCGTTACCTCAAAAGTAGAAGTTTGATAAGTGGGGTAAACGATAACTTGATCAATAAAGACAATGTCTTTAGAGGCTGCGTCTATTTTAGGTACTGTATTTAAAATATTAACTTTTTGATCTTTCTTAACTACTTGTAAAATTATAGACCCAATCAAAAATGACGCTTTTTGAAAAAAAAAATCAAATGTGAAGTTACCTTTTGAAAATAAGTAGAGAAGAGCTCAGACACTGCCAGGTGGATTTTAAATTAACATCCATAGAACTTAAATGGTGAGGTTGATGTCTTGCTTGAACGTAAACTATAAATTATTTTCTCACCCTCATAACTTTCTTGTAATTCTTTTTTTATGGCTGAATTGGAAAAAGTGAGTAGCTGTACGTATCACATGAGTACATATATAGAATTGAACACTAATAACACCTTTACATTAATCATCACAGTTATTGTGATTTTGGTCGGGGCTTTAAAAGTTCTTAGAGTAGTGTAAGCTATGAAAAGCCTACAATAATTTCATGAGTGCTGGGTGAGTTGTTATACTACTCAATTGCAATCGGTTCTATATGTCAATCTAATTCATTACACATCTATAGTGATCTGAAAGCGATATAAATTAAATTGTGTAAGAGAATAAGAAAATGCATCAAGTATAAAATGCCTGTGCTAAGTTCTATTGTGGGTAACTAATTCAGTTAATGTTTGAAATCATAAAAGAATCCTACTGTTATTTAAGAGAACACTAAAACTTAAATTTTGGAATGAAAAACATGTTGAAGCAAAAAAAGCAATAATGTACGAAACAAATCATTAATTTTTTAAATCTTAGGGGCTTATTATATTAGAGATTTATAACCTTTTGAAGCTAAAGATGAATATAGTTAGTATTTTACTTTAAAATTTGCAATATATAGGATGGGAAAGTAGAACATTTTTACATTCAGCTTTAGTTGCAACCCAGCCAGATGATGGTGGAGATCCTTAAGACGGTCTTTGATAGGTAAAATCAGACTTAAGGACAAAATTCAAGAATGAGGTCTCATCTTCCTATAAAAGTGTTAACTATATTCAAACCATGTGACAACAGGTAACAATTCAATTATACTTCTCAAGAATTTTGCTTGATTAAGAGTGTAAGTATTTTAATACTGTATCTGTCCTGTTGTAAATTTTCCTCGATTTAAGGCACAGATTGATGTCTTTGTTAAACCACCTCTAGAGGTTTTACATTCAATTTCTTTTTTAATAATGATTCTTTTTTCATTAATGTGTAGGGGTAGTAACTATTAAAACTCAACCTCTGTAAGAATCGATGAAGCAACATCAAAAGTCAAAAGTTATCCCAAAAAGATGATTTGTGATTTCACAGAACTTGTCAAATTTATATTTTACTAACAATGAAACGTATTCAATCAATAAAATAAATGTTATAACTCTACTTTGCTGAAGTTAAAATGCCATGAAAATGTCATGCACTGCTAGAAACTCAACTGCCACTAGACCGTTTATCTCCAAACACCAACAGCATTCGCAGATTTGGTTGTAATTCAGAACAGTTTAAAAAATTTAAATTCTATATGTAACTGATCGTTTCACAAAATCATTGTTTTGAAAAGATATACCAATAGCAAAAAGTGATCGCATAGAGTAATTGTTTTGCCATATTCACAATAAATGTCTAATGTAATTTTGGTAAAGAGTGTGAGAACTTATGAATAATCATGAGTGATTTTAAGTGTAAGTAATGATTTATGTGATGAGACAAAACATTTATTGATAGCAAGATCACAAGGGACACAAATGACTGAGAGACACTGAGACAATCATTGTTAAATCACGAGGGTTAGTGACAATCGAATACAACCATCACCAAAAGCAGCCACCACCTTTCACCACAACTAGCTTCTTACCCGTTCCACCAACTTTCTCTGGTTGTAGCGAGCTATCAACTCTAACTCAGTGAGGTGAGCTAGGCTCTCTTGTTTAAAAATGGCACTTTCCAATTCCGGAGTCAGTTTCAATTGAGAAGGTTTTCTCTTGAGCAGGGTCTTGAGGGACCTCAGCCGGTTGGGGATGAGGCTGTTGGTGTCTTTCTCCGTTAGACTGACAGATCGTGCTACAACATTCCTAGAATCTCGGTAAATATCATTATTGTTAAACTCTACTTGCGAGTAATCCTTGAAGGATTTGTGCTTGATCAACCGAGATGCCCTCCCGTTTGTCGGAGGAAGAGAATTCATATCGGCTAGACTGCTACACCTCTTACTAGGGATTATTATTCTAGAATCTATTGTACTGTGACCTAAACCGTTGTTGAGAACGACCGTTCTATCTACATCTTTGGTTTTTTGTGCACTTCTGTATGTGTCGCTATTCGATTCTTTGGTAGTGTCTCGGACACGTGGTTCATTATTTTCAGGAGGTAAGATAGTAACGATGGAAGTGTACTTCTTTTGCGGGGAGAGAGAGATTATGGTTTTATTCCCTTCGTTATGAATTACACATTGCTTACCAACCGAGACGGATTCGTTCGGCTCGTTATCACAGAACGCCCTCAACTCGCTGGGCGTATCTGGCGCGTTGACACTCGTGTTTGGCGACTCGAGGTCTTGGATCAGCTGGAGCGCCGCTTCTAGCTCTTTCGAAAATTCCGCGTCACTCGTTGAGTTCTTGTGTTGAGATGCTTCATCCCTCGAGGAAGCTCTGCGACTGTGGCGTTGTGACGGAGGGAACTTGGTCTCAATAGTCTTGTTGAGCTCCATCATGAGGCTCGCGTACTGAACCTGCTCAGACATGACGGTGGAATGTGGTCGAGGGGAGACGGAGGGGGATGTGCGGTCTACGTTGGTGCCGATGGCAGTGTTGAGTCGTGCTCTGTACACAGACGGCTCTGTCAGTCGCTCCAGACACTCATATATCGCAGGGTTGGAACTGTGAGAGGAGGTGTCACCGTTGTCTCCGGGCACAGGCGAGGGTGTGCGGGAGAAGCTGGTCATGAACGGCAGCTGTCGTTTTGTGTCACTGGTTGTGTCCTCCACCAGCACTACAGGCTGCACCGCGACCTCCGGCGCGACACCTGCAACCGTTTCTAGGTTAAAGTATACTAACATACAACTAAACATTCCTCTCCACTAGCAAACAAAGAAAATTAAGGTAGAAAGCTTTCCCTGTTCCAGATCCATAATTAAGGTGCTTGGGACATCAGGCCTCTGAAGACATCAAAACAAAAAGTAAAAGTAAATCGGTCGCGGGTCCAGGTCTTACCAAGAGACCTACGGTAATAACTTATTCCCTATATGGGAAATTCACTAAAAGAACATAGTTGAATTCAACATCTGACAGCATATGGTGCTTGACTTCTGTCGTATACATATACTTTTAACCCAAGCCAAAATGGGAAGAGAACGTATTGTGAATTATAGAATTTTTTATATCAGTTTCAAAATTAACAAAGAAAGTATACATTTTACAGTACAGCATTCATTCTGTATTCACTCTACTCTGTGACAGGTTTCTTTTTTATTTTTTTTTCAACGCCAGTGGCATTTTACAAGAGAGGTCACAAGAGATTAAAATGTTCTGTGGATATGCCGGTAATTGAACCCGTCCCTCCTGCACCAAAGTCTGAGACGCTAACCACTAGGCTAGCCAACACACCCGCATTCAACCGCAGCTAACTTTACTTGAAGAAATAGCACGACTATAAAGTTCCAAAACTAATAATTTAATAATAGATTGATGACAAAAAGTGCATAAAGCTATATTTTTAAAAATTATGTTTCACTCTAAATTACGCCAAGAAATAATGAATTCAACGGATAATCACCGTCACACATGTTGGTGGAGGGGCGCGCCTTCCGCTTGAGTACAACTGTCTTGCTTCCGGTGAACTGCGGAGCCGAGGGCAGCTTGTTGTACGGAGAGTCGGACTGCGATGAGCCGACCGTGTCCGTGTCGAACACCCACATATGTGCGTACTGATTCAACATGTTGTGCGCATTGTTCTTACCCATCGACCCAGAATTCACCTGTGAGTGGAAAACATACAGGTGGTCATACAATTATATAATGATCCAAAGACTAATGAGGCTAAGGTAAGATGTGACTGTAGACTAATGAGTTTATCTTTATCTTTACTTTGATACAGAAACACATATATCTATTCGAATTACATTAATTGCTAAATACAGATTATCGGTATTCAATAAGAATGGTGCAAATCTAAACGTAAACGGTAGGTACGTCTGTTTCAGTGATTTCGAACATCTGATTGTTACAACAATGGAATGGGCGTGTTTACAAGTTTGTTTTGACACGCGGTTGGTTTGCTCAGCTGCTTAGTTAGTGCTTAGTTGAGTACCATGAAGCCTGTCAACTAATGGCTACTACAAAACGAGAAAAAAATGTTTTGTGTTTTAGAGTTTGCTTGTACTAATGCAAACTAGTTAGTTAGTTAGTGTCCAGCAGAACTTTCAGACCAAATTTAGGAAGCAGGCACCTCATCGAAACTGCAATGCTCGTTGGGTGAGGCAATTCAAGACAACTGGATATTTGTGTGCCGGGGAGAGTTTGGCAGTCCTCAGAATCCGTCAGACGCTGTTGAGAGAATCTAAGCTAAATTTCGTCGTAGCCTCAACTGAGACAAAATATAACTTTAATCAAAACAAACTTATAAACACACCCTTTATTGTTGTAACAATAAGCTTTTTGAAATCACGGAAACAATTGTACCGACCATTTAGTTTTGCACCATTCTTATTGAATAACCGTGTATTCAATAACCCTGCAAGGTGAATGTAGAACCTTTGACAATAGGTAGGACTAGACATTCCATTCCCATATTAAATTTGTTACTATTTTTAGAACAAATCTGGAAATAGTTTGAGCCACCGACAGATAACGCTGATCTAGCAGTGCACTGAACCAAGCCAAATTGAAGAACAACTTATGGTAGATAGAGCATCTTTTATGTCACATCAAATATCAGTAACAAAAACTAAATGAGGAAATAGAGTGTTAAACCATAGCACATTCTGTGAGTGGCTCAGACAACTATTTTCTTATAGAATAAGAAAATTATTGGCAATTGAACAAAACCCTTATTTGAACTATAAAGAAAGTCCAAACTATCCGAAGTTACTTCACAAATATTCGGATACGCCTTAAAACCACAAATAATTGTAACGAATTTGTAAACCAGATTACAAATTTTTATAAGATAATGCAAAAATAATAGCATTCCAAACAATGTGAATTGAATAAAATGTTGAGTGATTGAATAAAATGTTGAGTGATTGAATAAAATGTTGAGTGAGTGAATAAAATGTTGAGGCCACCTTAAAGTATGTTCAAAACAAACAAATTCAAAAGCAGAGAGAGAATCTACTAAATTAATATTTTTGTGTGAATTCGATTAACACAACATTTTCTACCCTCAATCAATACACACTTCTATTGTAAAATCGACAAATTAAAATTTCAAATAAGTAACTGAAGCCTAATGCACTTGTTACCCTTGGGATGATGTACTCGATGTCTGTGACTGTGTCGTCGTGTTGCTGTAACGGCTGCGCCGGACGACATCTCTCCAGCCACCAGAACATGAGTTGTGCGTCGATAAAGGACGTCACTGCGGCAATCACAGTGCTGATGCTGGTAGTGGTGCGCGCTGTTACAGAACAAACAGCATGATTTGACATCTCGGCATAAAAAGATCCTCTCTGCCTCTAGATATACAGGGTGGTAAAAAAGTCCCTGGACAGTTGAATATTTTAAAAAATAATGCAGATAGAGCTATAATACTTGGTACAAAGTTACAGGGCATAAAACTCTATTTTAACACATATTCAGTGATCCAATAACCCTTCAGGGGGACGGCCCACAAGGAGTCAGAAGAAAATCTTAAAAGGAAGCATAGGTCAATATGCACATCAAATTAAAGGTCTTTTTTTGTAGAATACAATGCCGCAAACCGCACTTCAAAAGGTTGATCCTGCGCAAAATGACAGTTGTTCAAAGATTCATTTAATTTACATTGCTATTATACGCTTACTCCTCAGGGGCACAGCCCTAAGAATCGGAAGAAAATTGTTAACGTAAGCATAGGTCGATATGCACATCAAATTAAAGGTCTTCACTAGTAGATTACGATGCCGTAAATTCAAGCTCAAAAGAATGCCTGAGTAAAAAATGGCAGTCGTTCAAAGATTCAAAATGGCGGATTCAAGAAATCTTTGAACATCTGCCATTTTGCGCAGGATCAACCTTTTGAAGTGCGGTTTGCGGCATTGTATTCTACAAAAAAAGACCTTTAATTTGATGTACATATTGACCTATGCTTCCGTTTAAGATTTTCTTCTGACTCCTTGTGGGCCGTCCCCCTGAAGGGTTATTGGATCACTGAATATGTGTTAAAATAGAGTTTTATGCCCTGTAACTTTGTACCAAGTATTATAGCTCTATCTGCATTATTTTTTAAAATATTCAACTGTCCAGGGACTTTTTTACCACCCTGTATAATTAACATCTAACGTCTAAATTGTTGCAATCTCCCAAATAAAAAAGCTGGCTGAGGATTTTTCAACTTTGCCACAAAGTACATAAAAACTGGCTTGAAGTTCTAAAAATAGTTTTAATTCAGTTTCTTATCAACATCAAAAAACTTCAAGGAAGCAAACAAAACTTGTTTATTGATTGATTTAGTAAGGTATCAAACACATTATTAATCAGAAATTCTGTCAGTGGTGATACAAAATGACAACTTTAGTGGTATGACCCATATGGGATTGTAGAAAAAGATAAATTTACAACAACCTGTTGTATGTCCTTTGAAATTACAGCTAAATTAAATTAGTTTCAAATCAGAACGGTTACCATAAAAGACTAAAGTCTTGAGGTGTTGCTGCTGGATTAGCTTCTTGACAGAGTCTGGCATGAGCAGTCGCCACTCCCCGAGCTCCAGCACTAACAAGTTGACAATGTTGACGACAGTGACCGAGATGGTGAGGTACAGTAGCACATGGTGCTTGGTGGGGGTGATATCTCCTACACAGGAGAACACAGCCCCGCCAACACCCACCAGTACATTCTGTACAACACAGAGAACAAGAGTTATTGTGAGGTATTGTGGCACTTGGTGGTGGAGAAGACAACCTCGCCCATACCAACTTATACTGATACCATAAAACAGATAATTGCATTAAATAATCCTAGAAGCTGCTTATAACTTTTCTCATTAGTTATCATTAGTTGCTTTTACAGCTTGCTCTAGAATTAGACCTGCACCTGAGTTGACAATATTTCTTAATGATCATGTGTTGGAAGAGGTGGATAATTCTAGATTCTTGGGCCTAATAATTGACAAAAACTTAAATTGGAATAATCATGTTTTATCAATTTCTAAAAAGTTAGCTTCTGGTTTATTTGCATTAAGGAAGGTTTCTAAATTTAGCACTTTGGTTACAATGAAAACCCTTTATCATGCCCTTGTACAGTCTCATATCGCTTTTGGTATTGTTTTATATGGTAATACCTCAAATGAAAATTTAGATGAACTTCTTATCCTTCAAAAACAAGCAATAAGAATAATTTTAAAGCTAAATTGGGATGATTCTGTTAAACACCTATTTACTGAATTGGAATTTTTGACTGTATATAGTCTATACATTTTTGAACTTATTTTGTTTATAAAAAAGAATTCTCATAGAATAGAAACGTTAGGACAAAACCATAGTTATAATACTAGAAACAATAGAGTATTTGCTTATACAAGCCACAATCTTAAATTATATGAAAATAAACCTTCCTATGCATAGGTATTAGATTCTATAATGCTCTTCCGGTGGATTTAAAATCCACAGAAGATTTTAATGTTTTTAAGAAAAAACTGAAAAATGTAATGCTATCCAAACCGTTGTACTCTCTAGATGAGTTTTTTTTATTAATGTAATGATATAAACTCATCTCTAGGTCTATTTCATGTATATTGCAGTGAAATCATTAACATCTAATATTTTTGTATAATGTAGTAAGTTAGAAAAATGTTTAAATTGACGCTATTCTATGTACACATGTATGAAAAATGAATAAAGTTATTTTGAATCTTGAATCTTGAATCTTGAATCATTACCCGTTAACTTTTTTTTATTTGAAAATAATGAACTACGTACCTACGTTTTATTTAATCATTATAGTATATTCAGCTGAATAGTATAACAAAGATAAAACGTCATAGTAGCAATTTGGTGTTGTGTTAATGTAAGATCTGAATTAGACAAAGCTCTAGGGATGTCTTGTTGTTCCATGCAGACTGTACACACATCCTCACTTAGACTAACAACAGATAATTTAGGTTACCTTCTCAGTAAAGGCAAAACATGCTCTTGAATAATTGGTCCTATATTTATAAGAGTTATTAGCTAAAAAAAATAGCATTTGTTCCATAAGCACTATTAGCAATCAGTATTGAACTTGTAAAAACAATCAAAATCAAAATATATTTTATTGAATAAGATACTATGTACAAGCAAAGCACAAAAAAAGGCATAGTACAAGTTTTCAATTAATTACTGTATATTTTAATAGATTTGAATAAATTATCACTAAGTAAGTGTAATACAATAAATAAACTGGAGTGTTTGTTCATACTTTTGAATACCACTTCTATGATAATTTAATAATGTATACTTCTTACCCATCCTCCTGTCCATAAGTTAGACCCGATTTTGAAAACCGGAAGAGAAATCAGGAAAAAAATCCCTGCGATGAGTTGTACAGCTCCGGCACAAATGTACAGCACACTGCAGACGACATGACTAGCCACGCACAGTCTGGGCCAACACCCACACATCAGTCCTCCTGTAACATCATACATCATTTATATTATAGATCGGGAAATATACTTGAAGCCCAGCAACACTGCATCTACTCTCCACCTATGGTCGTGGAGGAGACCATATGGAGAGGATATTCAAGTCTCTTTACGTTACTCATCACTGCATCTATTGCGGCAGTTTGGAAAGGTGGACAAAGTCCCTTTCTTCAGTCACGAGGAGTTGGTAACTACGGTCATTTGAAGAACAACAAGGCTCCTGGACTGTTTATCCTTATGTTTATTAAATTAAAAATTGTTACTGATATTATTAACCTTTATGTTTTAGAACTTGAATGAAGATGTCCATCCCAACAATACTCGTGGTAGAGATCAAAAGCTATCAGCACCTCCTTTGAGTAAAACTTTAAACAGTCATGTTGTTATGTGTAAGAAAGTATATACAGTATAATAAGGTAGTAAAATGTAAATATAAAAAAATCAATGACTGACTTTCTTTAATACAAATGGCTCTTAAGAAATCCTTTTTACAGTACTGAAGAGTTTCTGGAACAACCTGTGATAAGTGTGTAACTGAACATCTAAATCTGTTAATCTATAAGTATAAAAGAGGATGTTTTGTATATATATATTTGTTTGTTTGTTTGGCAGTGATAAACTCAGACACCGCTGAACCGATTGCCACGAAACTTGGTACATACGTGTAGAATGTCATGGAATAGGTTTATACACCATCAATTTCGTGATCCGTCCAATCGGCTCCGCCCCAGTGGCTCTGGAGTTTCCCATGTTAACCTTATGAGAAATGGAATTAATGAATCTTAACAGCTGTTTCAATTAAACAAGTTGGTTCTGTTCTATGATGATCAATAGCGTTAAAGTTACAAGGATTACCAACAGGGTGCAGCACTATTATTTCTTTTACATTTATGACAACAGCTAATTTGCAGCCAAAAGGTGATTGAGCGTAGCGAACGAACTTCAACCTGGAGGCGAGTTAGCGTAGCGAACGAGCTAACCTGAAGGCAAGTGAGCGCAGCGAACGAGCTCCAACCTAAAGGTGAGTGAGCGTAGCGAAAGAACTTCAACCAGGACGTGATTGAGCCATGCGAACGAGATCATCTTGAAAATTAAGAAGTTAAACGGGGCAAAGCTCGCGGGATTATAAATAGTCAAAGGCAAGACAACGTCTGCCGGGTTCAGCTAGTTACTTTCTAAATAGGTATTCTATTTTTGTTTTTTTCAATATTGTTAAAATTACTCATTTGTTAGTTGTTTATAGTCTACTAGCTGTGTGCCCGTTCTACGCACGGGGATCTTATAGTAGTCAGTTGAAACCTTCTTATATTAAGATTAAGAACAGCAATTAGTTTGCATATTTGCAGATATGCTGGCAAAACTATTATATATAAACCTTCGCAAATACAGTATCTGACAGTTCAAGCCAAAATAAATGCTTCGCAATTAAATGTCACCAGGATCGTGTTGGCCCATATGTCCAATGATTAAACTTAAAAATATTTTATAGATCCATGAAGCGTAGCCCTAAAGTAGGCCTATAATTGAAAGTTACTTTCCACATCGGTTAACTTAAACGTATTTAAAGTACTACCTCAACCTCACCATTTAACACTTTATTCCGGTTGACATTTTCAGTATCAAAGGTGCTCTTGTCCATTCCGCGAAACACTGAGAAATAAGGACATTAATGCGTTACCAACATACAACAAAACAACACAATACAACAATCCAACAAAGGCCACGAACTATTGATACATAAACAATATAAAGGCGTAAACAATTCATGATGGTTTGCCCAACAAATGTTTTACTCAAATAGGTTATCATTTTCTTAGCATACCGGGTAAGCTAAGATTTGGAATCCAGGCAGAAAAAGCAAAACTTATACAGAGTTAAGACATCACTTAAATTGAATACGGACGGCTCTAATAAATAAGGTGCAACACCAACGATATCTAATTTGTAAACTACCGGTTCTAAGGAAAAGAACCAGTACCTACGTAAGAACCTACCTAAGAATTACAGTAAATCGGACCAATTAAATACATTAATATCTAGTCCCGAGGTTATTGATCTCTTGCTTTTGGATTTTCTCGTAAAAAGTTATAGCGTAAACTTATCGGTGTCAGTTTGAAAAAGAAGCAACCTTACTCAAACAACTTTTTGTTATTTAATAGATTACGCATTCTCTAAACAATGATTAGTATATCTATTAACATTAGAAGGAAATGTGACGAAAATCACACAATGTTGGGGGTTTGGTCATTTGTAATTTTATTTTTTAAGTAGGTAGGCCATGTATTCTATGGAAAAGTACCGGTATCAAGGATCGTCGTCAAAAAGGTTGTTATGAATAAATATGTAGGCTTACGTACCCAAGATATGAGCTATGGGCCTATTGGCTGTATGGTCCAGCGATTGCATCACACGGTGAGTAGAAACAGAAAGTGACACTGGAAAAGCGAGTTTTAGCACTACCTCTGTTACAATCACCCACTGCAGTTGTGATTTTTTACTTTACACTTTACACAATCGCCATTGAAGCGCCGTCAATGAGTGGAAACCTTTTTTGTAAGCTATTGGCGACGATCATTTCAGTGTCACAGCCCTATACAACACTGATTCAAGGTCTTCTTCTTTCTGGTTGTCAAAACTCAAGAAACATTTTATACTCAAAGAATTTCTGGTTCCGATTTGGACGATGTCTAGTTATTTAATTTCATTTACGGTTACACTATTAGACTATATTATTGCACTTGCGATTAATTAAATCCGTTCTGTAAGAAAAACGTTTTTAATCTCACTTGGTTGGGATTTGCTTTCAAAACGTGATTCGAAATAGTTGCGGTATTTGTAAACAACATTTGTAAACATGTCATTGACAGCTAGAAAAAATAATCTTGATCCGAACAGCTGTTCGTTATTTCATAGACGATTATGTGATAAAAATTGAACGAAAATTTGACAAAAATCGCACAAAACTGCAATTTTGAACGTCCATAATTTTATTTACAAAGTAGTGAGGCTATATTTAAATCACTAAAGACACTCTCGCCAATCCAGTGAATACATTAAAATGACTTGGATCTTGATAGGTACTCTGGTTTTCACGGAGAAGATTGCGTAAAATGCCATCTTGAGTGTTACAGACAAAGGGACAGACAGACAGACAGACAGAAATTGAGATAAGACTCGTTTCTGCTTCTTTAATGGATAAAACGTAAAAATAACCTAAAAGTATATAATTCTGAGCAATGTACAGACAAAACTCTAATTTTATTTATATAGATTGTGATTGTTAACCCTGTAGTTGAAAGGAATTTGTACAACAGATTCATAAGCTAACTCTGAATACAAGACAAGGAACATTTAGACAAGGAACATTGAAATTTTATGTTCTGATCCACTGACAATGTCAATGCATGTAAATGTCCATCATAATAAATGATTTGATTTGATTTGATTATCGATCTCCTCAGTACTCAATTTGTAAACAAACGAGGTGCCGGCACTGTAGCCTATTTAATGTAATTAGTACCAATTTATGCCAATATTTTATCTTTCCGAAAAAGAGGTACCGGAACTCCGTTCCACTGTGTTCCCCCGCAAATCAGGCACTGGATCTCCTGATCCTGTTGAGCAAATAATACCTCACATTGTGTCACATTTTGACCAGGGTATTATCGGAGTCAAGACCTTGACCTGGATGCAATATAGGTCATAAAATAACTAAATGTCAGAAACTGTGAGAGTCCTGTGGGCTTAGGTCCCATGACCTGAAGAAATGTGACAAACAATCCCAGGTCTGTGTCGTCCAAACATAATAGAGGGGTTTTATTAATGAGTTTGTCTGATCAATTTAGGAGTCTCACACTACACTACAGGCTGGCCTACACTGGCCAACTGAAAGCATTTCTTTTTTCTCTCTGGAAAAAATTCATTTATATTACAATAAGAGTAATCATCAAAAAATAAGAAGAAAAAACTATTAAAAATATCTTATTTAAATAACTTCTGAATCGTTTATACTGGGTATTATTTGCTGAGCTCTTGACTTTCTTTCACAAGCAAACAATTCTTGAAAAGTACCGGTACCTATGAAAAAGGTTGAGAAAAAGGATGGTATACAGTAATGTCAATATAGTGACATGTCAAAGGATGGTCTTTGACCTATCTCCACCCTCCCTCTAACCTACCACACCCTTGTGGCGAGGTTAGTGTTAATGACAACAGGAGCCCTTAAACATAAGCTTCACCATTAACAACTCCTTTCTAGTCAGTATTTGCTAGTTTCAGATATTCAGACCCCAGAACTGTGTCAGCCTATAACTTCCTGTATTTTGTTAAAATTTACGCAACTGTGTATACGCTTTTACACACGGTACTTATAAGGTATAGAAAGTCAGAAAAGCTCAAAGAGAGAAAATAAAAGAAGAAAATGAAACAGATTTTAAATCTACTAATAGGTATATTACTAGACAGCTAGCAAATAAGTATTTCTATTAGTTTGTTTTCATTAAATTACTAAATTATTTTAAAAACGCTTTATAAATTTGTATTGTATTGTCTGATTGAGGCCAAAATCAAAGTCAGGTACAGTCACGTCAACATTCTTGTAGACTGAGGAAAGGAAACTAGGGAACAGCTCACATTTTTCACTTGGAGTTGAAGAAATCTTCTGATTAAAGAACATTCTATCAGGAGCCGATGAACTTGATTTTCTTGAATTAACATGTTACCAAAAAGCCTTGATATTGTGAGGGATGTTCAACTCAACATTCCCAATGTAATCAGAGTAGCAGATGCTCGTAACAGCCTTGCATTCTCGTCTCAGATTCTTAAATACTTCATAAGCAGTGACTCCTCGAGTACGTTTATAACGGACATGTTGTTGTTTTTTGGTGATGGTGAGCGCTTTGAGTTCAGTTGAAAACCACGAAGGAAAGTTGGAGCCACCAATTGTCTCAGTAGGTGTATAACATTTGACTAGTTGCATTAGCCATTC